TATCGTCGCTCAAAGTCATTTTTTTTCTTTTTTAAATTTCGTTGAAAATTTTGGAGCTATTTGTAAGAAAATATCGTTTCAGCTTGACTGAAAATGCGAAATTCGAAGCTCTTTTTTACAGAAAACTTTTGAGTCTTCAAAAAATTATTGGAAGTCATTTGAAGCACTTCCTTTCACTAGTGCAGTAATGTATACAAATATCTGGAAATGTGCATATCAAACGCATAAGAGACATTAAAAAAATACTTTTGTGAAATTTTTGAAAAAACAAAAGAGTATAGTATAATGAATTATCACCTTATACATCATCTTATACACTGCATTTCGCACTATCGATACGAAAATTAGTAACCCATTTTTGAGAAAATGTCGTTTGAGAGTATGAAAATTGGGAATTTTGAGATCATTTTCATAGGAAACTTTTCAATTTTCGAGAAACTTTATTAGACATAGTTGGAAGAACGTGTACTCAAAATGGCATTAATATACACTAATCACCACTAGTGTATATATTAACAGACAAGTGAGAGAATTTAAAAAATACATTTTTATAATTTTTGAAAGAAAAAAAGAATAGAGCAATAAGGCGTTTGTGTCTTCTCATAGAGTACATTTAGCACTATCTCTACCAAAGTTTAAAGAAAAAATTGAAGTCGTTTTTGAGAAAATCTTGTTTTTGATATTTTTTAATATTGCACATAATGCACGCAGTATTATGCGAAAAATACTAACATTATCAAACAAATGTACATGACCTTAATGAAAGAACTATGTAGAAAAAATGTACTCATGGAAAAATCTCTATTTTGAAGTTTGTAATATTAGGAATGAGCCGAAAATATTTCAAACATTTTCAAAAATGCATAGTTAATAGTGAAAAACGGACCTATGTCATCTTTATAGGTGCATTTTACTCTATTTACTTCAAAAAAATTTAAAGAAACAATTTGGAGTCATATTTTAGAATGTTTTCAAAATGTTCCTGTAGCTTCGTGTAAAGTAGACCCAAATTTTAAGGAACGTTTTTCAAACTCGCAGCACTTCGAGTTGAGCCAGATTTTCCGGGAAATGTCCATTATGGAAAATATGTGTTTGGGCACTAGTGGTGTTCACAGACGGTCGGACGGATAGGTGGACTGACGTATTGCCGACAATCGATTTTCGGTATCAAGGACTCACTAAACATGGATTCTCGCTATACCAAGTTTTAGAGTATTGTTTTTTCTAAATTTAGCAACTGGATTTATCCACTTTTTTCGTTATTAGTGACCGGCAATAAGAGTTTTTCAGGCTGCCGAAATTTCGCCGTTTTCCCCCGCAACATTTCATAACTTTATCTCTATTCTACAGCGTAAGCGGTAGAGAGAAAGTAAATAGCTGTAGATTTGAATGTGCTGGGGAAACCCGCCGGGAATTTGTATTGAAGTGCCCTATACTTTGTCCAGCATATCCCCCTTCCTGTCCCGTATACTAGACGAAGTTTACAGGTCTACAGTACTATACTGCGATTTATGCAATTCTGCCCCTGACAGGTATCATCAATTGACCACCTGACAGGTGTCAGCAGTTAACAATTGAATTAAACTGTCCACAGCTGATACCTGCCAGAGGCAGAGTTACGAAACTCGCTGTATAGACTACAGTTCTGTAGCTTTCGTGGCTGTGTCCATATCACAGTATACTGTGTCCATATTGCACTATACTAGGATTTATTTAACCATGCATGTGAAGTATTATACGCGCACGTTTTCTTGAGCCCCGGAATATCTACCCCCACTCTTTTGACATTAGATGAATTAAGAATAAATAATAACAACGAGCGTTGTAGACAAAATCTGATAGTCAGAAATGAATTAGAAACTATTTTGCTACGAAAAGCGAACGAATCACTTTAATATAAAATTCCTTTTGTGAAAATAATCTACCTCCCCACTCCCCTCGCAACTAAAAACATAAAAGACTAACATACCATAACATAACATAACATAAAATAAAAAAAATGAACAGCCTATTTATCTAATATCACTTTAGATTGCCGCTACACGGAATTTTTTATCTATATCAATAACAACTTCACTTCACTCGACTACACTTGCATTTCACTTCGCTTACACTACACTTGTACTTGAGGCTTCTGCTTATTGTACTGCACTTTCACAACGGCTTCACGCACTCAATTTCACTACTACTGTTTAAAATATACTTGTATAATTTAAGCTGAAACGCAATGTTTTAATAGTGCTTATCACAATACTAATATTTAAAAAATAACAATTATAATGAAATTATAACTAAAATAATAACTTATTTATGAACTTGAAGCCTAACTATATACAACCAATGTTCCTTAGTTAATCTACTTTTGAAACTTTGTAACACAACTAGAAGGAAAGGGTTCCATGGCCTGTCGGTCAGGGTAACTTATTCCAAAGTCCGGTTATTGCTTCTATTTGTGAATAAAATTTTTCCAAACATCGTGGTTTCTCTGTGTTTCTGAACTGAATTTTTGTGCTTGCTGATCCACTCTACATAAGTAATGTGGGTCTATCGGTTCGATGAAAATATCTTTCCAAGCTGGATAACCGGCATAGACTGCTTTGTACATGGCAAGCGAGCAGAGTCTTTCCTTAGCCCTCCTGAGTTCTAGAGACTCCCATTCCACTTTCTTCCCTATTGCCTGCGGATATCGTAAGTTTACACGCTCTTCTCTTGTAACTCTATTCAACATATTCCTTTGTGAATTTCTTATAAGCGGTGCCCAACAATTGCCCATATTTCATTAATGGACGAACTAAAGGATAGGTAAGCTAATCTCTCGCTTTCGCAGTACTCTTTTTTAGCTATTCGCATGGTAAAGATGCAAAAATACCTCCAGGCTTCACTAACAACAAAGTTAACTGATTTTCCCAGTTTAAATTTGCTATCAATATTATTCCCAGGTACTTAAAGCCAGACTACTTGGAATCTTTTCGTTGCCTAACGGGTATTGCACGCTTTCACTATATTTGACGGCTCCTACAAAACGTGATGGATTTTTGCTTTTTGAAACTATTTAGACTATGATGCTTTTACTTTTTTTTCTGCTCAGAAAATGTAATCTATCTAGATCATTCCTGCAAAATAATCCTCGTCTACTTTTTGTTGGTATAACTCGATATCATTATACATGGTCATCTGCAAATAGTCTTACCCCTTTCGGAACATAAAATCTGTCTTGGCATGGTTCTTTCGGTTTTTACGAAACGCGAAAACAGGAGGTGGTCCAATAACACTGGCTTTTCCTTAGAGGATCCCTTTGAGAAGTAACCTCTGCCAGGGTTGAAAATTGTTGTCCAACTCGGACTGTCTGTTTCCTATCTCGACAGAAACTCTCAATCAACCGTTATAGGTCCACATGCCACAAACCCTGTGTCCAATACCCGAATGCATTTAATTTATGAACTTAGTTTTATCGTGTGGGACAACATCAAATGCTTCGCGCAATCTATTAATTATGGCTTATCGCCTACTCCTACCATATATCGATCACTTCATCTGCTATATCCTGAAAGTAATTATATATCTGACTCTTCGCAAGAGAAAAGCATTCCTAAAACCATGCTGTCGCCTGAAATAGCCATTATTTTGTTTTCTCCTTCATTACTTGTCTAATATAGCTAGTTATCCCAAATGTTCCATGAGCTTATCATACAACTGACGTAAGACTTACGCGGTCTATAATTTTGCTATATACAGTTCTGTCAGCAGAATTCTTAAAGTTGCGGAAACAATGGTAGCTAGCTTCCAATCTTTTGAACGCTGAATTGGTTGATCGAAAACATGAAATAACCTTTGTTATGCATTACGGTAATATTGCTCTCTCACTGAGTTTTATTATGTCCTATTGAAATGGCAATCTGGACCCCGGGACTTTCCTCAGTTTTTCAATAGAGATTTAATTCGCTTTCGCAATACTTTACGTCGAAATTTAAATCTAATTGGTACCGCCTGCCCTCGAATATCTGAGTATGTGTGAGATTTTGTTTTTAAACGGAAACATGAAGTAGGCTTAAAATGCGTTTGCTTTT